GTACTGCATGTGTGGACAATGCTGGGGTGCACCAAGATGGTGCCCGCGCCGGATATGACGTCACTACATTACCGCTCGGGACCCTCCTACTGGAGTATCTACGGGTTACGTCACGATTGGTGCACGTGACTTCCTCAGGATATCGTGAGGAAGTCACGTGCACCAATCGTGACGTAACCCGTAGATACGCCAGTAGGAGGGGCCCGAGTGGTAACGTAGTGACGTCATATCCGGCGCGTGCGCCATCTTGGTGCACCCCAGCATTGTCCACACATGCAGTACACCCATAGTGTGGTGAAAATGCCAGTTTACACCTGATGTTATGTGAGTAAGCATTTTAGCTTTGGCATTTTTTAATAAATGATTTTACACTATATTGGATTTTTTTGCTTCACTGGGGGTGTATATGGAGTGATACCCGCCCTAGTATCAGGAGGCAGCGTCTGGATACCAATATACCAGAGGAGGAGAGAGTCCCACCATTACTGTTAAAGAGGATCCCACCCTTTGGAGGAGTATAAAGAGGCATATCTAGCTCATTGGTCCTGAGGGGCCTGGGCAGGAAGGTGAGGGGGCACCCCTGTCACTGTGGATTCACACGCAGTTTGGAGCACCTGCATGAAGAGTGTTTTTGTTGTTTCACCTAATAGGACACTTATATATCTTTAACTGTATGTGTCACTGGGAGTGACCCCCTGTCATGCATGAGGTGTTAATTCCTACAAGGGGTACAATATACTGGTACAGCACTTATTGAATCTCCTATCTAGAACCACTCCCATCCAGGACCTATGCGTCTACTATTTTATATGTACATGTATTTGTAGCGCTGCACTATTATTAGATTCACACCCAATAATGTAACATACCTATGTGTCTTTTTACAATTGCTTTTGTCTTTTAAGGTCACTTTGCAGTAAAAGCAAGGAAGCAATAAAACCTCTGTAGTATATAAATGTGCTTTACTAAACGAAAAGTCTGTACATACAAACTATTTACAATTATAGGAAAACAATACAAGACTGACAGATATGCTGTACATACAACACATGCACATGCTACCTAAACTTCCTAGCGAATGAGCATGAACAGTGGTCTGTGTACAATAGGAATATACTAAAAGTCACTTAGTTCAGGTTATAGTAGCTTCATGATCTCCATAGGCAACAAGGAACTCAGGCTTTACTTTTTGTGTGTTTGTAGGAAATCAGACCCTAGCATCATCCTCACATGAAATTTCTCCTTTGGTAAGGTGAAGTCATGTCATGTCATGATCAGAAGGTAAGATCACCTGGGAGTGCAGCTCAAGTTCTAGTGTAAACAAGTAAACAGGTGCTTCTAGGTACCAATCCTCGCAGATGCAGGAGCAGTGAAGCTGCACGCAAACGGTGGTGTGTCAGAGCCGCAGGATCTAAGGAGCCACCCGGTCTTCACCAGAGCCACTTGAGGTGTGGATGTTGCACTGCATGGCAGCCCCCAGCTTGCAGTTCTCTAAGACACCCGCGCGGCTACAGCACAACCAAATAGTATGCTGAAAGGACACAGGGAACACACTGGATACAAAGAAGCAAACTAACCAACTGAAGAAAGCTGGGAAGGGGCTGCAGGGCAAACTAACAACAAGAAACAATGCTGTGAATGACACAAACAGCAACAGGGAAGGAAGGGATTCACAGACAGGGAGGAAATGGGATACAACTGCACAGCTAGGGGAAAACACTGTGAACTATGACAAAATCAAACACACAAAAAATATGAGAATAATCGAATGGCGGTGAACACCACAGGAAATAGAGGGTTTCCGGCTTCTATGTGGAGACACGTTGCTCGAACAACACACAGGTACACAGGCTCAATAATACCAAGGTACAGGGCAGATAGGCAGGAACCCAATGCAACTCGGACAGGAGGTAACACCTGGCACTGGATTGATGTGCACAGAATTACTCCCCGCTGTTTCAAGGGAAAACGAATGTGGAATCTTGTGCAAAAGGTCAAGCTATTGTTGACTCTTATTTACACAGCTTTGTTTGACAGCATTTGCTCAGAACTCCTGTAAAATAATGGAAGCAGCTAAAAATGTGTACATTTACCAATCGACTCATTGACATTAGCTCAATATACAACAATAGTATCTATTTTCCTATTGTATTAGAGGACATCTTGTGCAAACATTTCCAACAGCATTTATTTGAGAAATGTTCACAAAAGAAACCTAATGTTTATATACATCACAATTGTGTTTTTTTTCTATTAAAATGGAACTGCTAAGGCTGCCCACTTTATCCTTTACTATGTGTTATAACTATGGAACACTTAGCAGTGGCATTACGTCAAATGCCACGTCAAAACATATTATAAGAATGTCTAATCTGTAATTTGATGCCTTTTGGAGATTTTTCCAACTTTCCTTGGCTTCTTTATGCACATTAATACAAATTTTTAGCTGAGGTGCCCAAACTTTCGATCCCCACTGTAAGTGGTGAGGAGGAGCTGGTGTTCCTGATGTGGCCCTTTATCAGAAAACAGCTGTCCTTATTAGAATCCGTGATTGGGTTCATCATTGCTCCACAAATCAGTGGGTACAACTTGAAAACCTTATGGCTTCTCTAGATCTTTTGGTTTTACCATGGATCTCTCTCTTTTTCCTGACATCACAAAACAAACTGTCTTTGTGTGACCAAGCCATTACAAACTTTCAATCTCACAATATTTTGGTCCCATGACATCCTTTTAGGCAATCCAGCCTTACTGCTTTACAGGGTAATATTTTGGTGCTCTTTTTTATCTGGTGGCTCACAAATGAGATACAATATGTCACCTGTCCTATAGCTTTATAAGCAACAAGTCATCTCATTTATTCACTCTATCCAAGATATTTCTGAACTTCAATCCTCCCCAACAGCTTTTAGCTAATTATGTTTACAGAACTCTCCAATATCCTATGGTGTATCTCAAGTATACTCAATTCTTTCCTCCCTGGCCCATCCACATTTATCCAAATACACATCTTCATGGGAGAGTGAGCTTGAAAATACCATTTTCTTCATAAGTTGGTAAAGTGCTGTACACTAACCCATAAACTACTGATGCCACAAGAGTCCGTGAAAAGAAATTCATATTGATTACCAGGTGGTATAGATTTCCCAGATCTTCCTAACCATTTCTATCCAAGCATTTCTGATGTCTGATATTTCACAGGACAAAAGGGACCATGACGTATAGGGTGGGAGATTAATATTTCTTGGAAAAATATGTTTGATATGTATTGTAAGATCATGGCAACAGAAATTTCCATTTCAACATAGATAGCAATCCTATCTGTAATAGACCCTCTCAAACAATCAAGATGTTCTTCATCATTTTATCTCAGTGTACAAATAAAAAGTGCACTAATTATTCACAAAACATGCAAGGATAAATAATAAAAATAAATAAATTCATAAATATAAACATAAGTCCAGCCACCATAACAGTGATAGTCCAATATCAACTTAATGTCAATCTTGAAAACAAACACCCATGTGCAAATCCGACACCAGATGAAATGAATACACTCACCAGAGCTATATGCTGATTATATTATAAACCAGCATGATAGCATTTTGCTCTGGGAGCGATGGTTTATATGCACCGGTGCATTTTTTAAATTGGGAATTTTTTATATCCCTTGGAGGTTAAGCTAGATGTTATTGGGGATTTCCTTATACCTCTCGAGGTTAAATTAATGATGGATAGATTTGTGGATGGGGGTACCATTCCAATGTTTGGCCCTCTATATGAGCAGATTATGGGTTATTATCCCCATACATATCATCTTTTTTGTTTGTCTTTGGTGGTAGTTTTTTTTATACAGAGTTCTATGTTTTTGTTATTATCATCCTTCTGATGTAGATTTGAGATTATGTATATTTCTACTACCACTCTTAGCATATATATATGTTTAATACTCACCTATACTTTCATAGGACCATTTGTGTATTTATATGTTAATTTCATTATGACCATTTGATTATGCCACACCAATTTGCTGTTATGTTATTGCCACATATTCCTGTTGACTGCGGAGATTGAGTTGTAGTTTGGTATCAGATTGATGTGCTGATTGACTGCAGCTGATCTCGTATGCGGAAAGGGTATATATTTTATGAGCAGACATCGGATATCCACTCCGCCCCTTGAAGACGTCAAGTGACAAAACGCGTTGGGCCTGGCCTAGTGGACGTGACGTTGGAACGCTCCTCCCAGCTGTGTTGATCGCGGTGCAGGAGGTTTGTCCCTTGGTTTTTCCCTTGTGGATGTGGCATTTTAGAGGCTGTCATTGCTGGTGTCGGCTAGACACCTTCTTTGTGAGTGCAATACTTTGGTAATAAAATTTTACTGGTTTTAAACGTACTGCACCATCATATCTCTTCTTATTCCTCGAGCTTTGCCCATGTTATTGGAAGATCATTTGCTGATTGGATCATTATTGGTTGCTGTTCCTCTACTGGGATATCCTGCAGATCATCGCTCCCAGAGCAAAATGCTATCATGCTGGTTTTTAATATAATCAGCATATAGCTCTGGTGAGTGTATTCATTTCATCTGGTGTCGGATTTGCACATGGGTGTTTGTTTTCAAGATTGACATTAGGTTGATATTGGACTATCACTGTTATGGTGGCTGGACTTATGTTTATATTTATGAATTTATTTATCTTTATTATTTATCCTTGCATGTTTTGTGAATAATTAGCGCACTTTTTATTTGTACACTATTTTACCTTTTTTTGGTTAGAGGTGCTGCTTATTATTTGATTTATTTTGCATTTTCTGTGGCGCTTCTTATATCTGCTACATCATTTTATCTCAGTAGCGAAAGTAGTGATTCCGCAATATTGGAAATCAGACATACCGTATTTTTTGCCGTATAAGACGCACCTGACCATAAGACGCATCTAGGTTTTAGAGGCAGAAAACAGGAAAAAAAAAAATTCTGAACTAATGGACTGCAGACACAGTACAGGAGATGACCAGAGACTGCGGACAGCACAGGGATGACCAGAGACTGCGGACAGCACAGGGATGACTAGAGACTGCGGACAGCATAGGGATGACCAGAGACTGCGGACAGCACAGGGATGACCAGAGACTGCGGACAGTACACATGACTGCTGACCTTTGGGGAGGTGGGGAGCGGGTACCTGAATTTGACAGGTACCCGCTCTTACTTCCGCAGAGTTTTTGTTTGATCTTACCTGTTCCTCGATCCAGCCGCGCGCTGTCTTCCCGGCTTCTGTAATGGCGCTCGGCATGACAGCCGGGTGCCCAGTGCGCATGAGCGAGAAGCACTTGCGCTTTGTGATTGGTCCGGCGGCTTCTGGGATCTGTCATGTGTCCCAGGTACCGCCTTACCATTCACAAAAAGCACCGCTAATTGCGCATGCGCACTTGGCACCCGGCTGTCATGCCCAGTGCCCACACTACAGAAGCCGGGAAGACAGCACGCCGCTGGATAGAGGAACAGGTAAGGTCCCGCTGCAGAGCTGAGCGGCCGGCCCGGTATTCTGACACGGCCGCGGTGGAAATACCGGACCGGCCGCTCCATATTCGCTCCATAAGACGCACTGACATTTCCCCCCCAGTTTTGGGGAAGAAAAAGTGCGTCTTATACGGCGAAAAATACGGTAGTCCCAGCCCAGCAGAATGGGCAGTAGAACTAGATTTTATAAGGAATCTAGAAAGGTTGTTATCACAAAAAAATGATAGAGTAGACCATAATAAAAGTACCTGGAATTGAAATTCAAAGTTCAGAATTTCACCTGCTTATAATGAATGGATCTTTGGTAATCTTCTCCTTTCCCATCTGAGCCAAGTTGGACAAAGTGCTCCTTTTAAATCTCTTTCCATTTCTCACTTTTTTTTTTTAATTAAACTAAAAATTTTCTTTTTGTCAAAAATATAGTGTCAATAACTCAGTGTTAGTACCATGTTTAAACAAGAATTAGTACAAATTACAAATTCCCATAAATACTGCAACATATAAAGATATTTATTGTCTAAAGTTAGAATTAAGTGTATCACTGAGAAGTTAATGCTTAAAGATGTGTACTAATATGCATACCTAAAGATTATATCATTATCAGTTTTTTTCTCTTTGTCTTTTGATTGATTTTCTGTTTGTTTGAAATAAAAATAAAATAAGATTGAAATAAAAATCCTTGTACATTCACATCAGTCCCTAACTCTCAAGGGGAATACAATCTAAAGTCCCTAAATTTAATTCATACATACACGAGCCAATTTAGACAGGATCCAATTACCCTGGACATGATCCTCCAGGTGGAGGCTGATATTTTTACAGCTGAGAGGAATGGGTGCTGATTCAGCAGAAGGATCTCAATCTCATGCACAAGCCAACCTACCACGAATGTCAGAGACTATCTAACACAGCCCAGGAGATCCTGAGACAGTGGGATTGACTCGAGATGCAGGACAATGTGCTTTATCACCAAGCATCCATCTCCACCGAACAGTGGTACATTCTACATGTCATGGTCCCCCAGTCACACATTCTCCTTGGTCAGGGGATAATTCTTCCTGCGGCTGGCAGATAGGGACAACCCATCATCCCTGGAATCTTCCCATGTGGGCGTGGACCATCCAGGCCGCATTCCACCCCTCAAGACAGACACTGTCAACACATCCAAGACCCGCTCCATTACACATTCCTGTCGCATTCTGTGAGTGTCCCCGGTTGGGTGCCTTCCCACTAAGCTGTTTGTGATGTTTGAACTTTATATTTATTACAAGTTCTGTTTCCTGCACTGGACTCTGATTGTTTACTGCTGCCGCACTAAGCTACACCTCCTGACATGTTTGCCTGCAAGTAAGTCTTAAACCTGGAGGTGAATAGTATTCATTATAAGTGCTATAAAAATGTGTTGAATGTCACTCACATTATGGATTAAATGTGAAAGAACTGACTGCAGTTTTTTTCTAGAAGTGGTTCATCCTAATACGATATCTGAATCCTGCAGGTTTTGTAGAGTATTGGGTGGGATGAAGCTTCCAAACCTGGGTCCATGTTTTGATAGTGACCAGCACCTGCTAACTGTGTAGATGTGCCCAGCCTTTCTAATAAGAGTGCTGACGATAGCTCAGGGCTCCATCCAGGAGACAGGAGTCCCCTGCCCAGAAGTCATGGTTTTGGCCAATGCAGCAATGAGCTTCAAGATATGCAAAGTATGCTGTGAGATGGACTGTAAGAACAGAAACAGACATAAGCTTGAGGTCATTGCAGGAAGGATGGTGTTAGAACCCCACAATTCTGCGGCCCCATTCCCACCAAAGCATGGGAAAATGAGAGGAAAACAATGTGAGTAAGTACTAGGGGATACATTCAGGTGTGAAAGACTATTGTGGGTCTTGTATAGAGTATCAGATGTCAGCCTCCCCCCCTACTGAAGCTGGTTCCTTTGCCTGTGACTGTGTTTCCTTTTGCGCTAATCACAATGAAAATGATATGACCAGTGGTTAAATCTGCCCAAGACCATCAATAGATCCTGGTGGTTATAGACTAAGCTACCTGGTATTTCAAGGCTGTTCCTTTAAAGAACACTTCTGCAAAGCAGTTAGTAGACCCAGAAGGACGTTTTTTTATTTTTGAAGGGTTCTCTGTTTAACCACTTGATAGCCGAATAGCCAAATGACTGCACTGCGGCCGGCCAGTTCTGGGAGGGCAATATGACATCCTCCCAGAACGCGCTCCCCTGCACGCCCCCGGCGATCTCCATGATCGCTATGTCCTACGGACACAGCTGATCACAAAGATTTGGTAAAAAGGCCAATCACAGTGGCCTTTTACCACGTGATCAGCCATGTCCAATGACACGCTGATCACCGGGAAATGCAATTGCCAATTCTTGGCTGCACTTTCCTCACACTGTCAGAGCATGAGGAAAGTACTGCCGAGAACCTGCAGTTGTCAGAGCAGGGATCGGCACCGATCATCAGGGCACTGATGATCAGTGCCCTGATGATCGGTGCCCAGCACCGCCATCCACCAGTTCCGCTAACCTGTGCCCAGCAGTGCCGCACACCTGAGCCCAGCAGTGCCGCCCACCTGTGCCCAGCAATGCCACCCACCTGTGCCCAGAACTGCCCACCCACCTATGCCCATCAGTGCCACCCACCAGTGCAGTCCAGCAGTGCCGGCAGTCAGTGCCCAGCAGTGCCGGCAGTCAGTGCCCAGCAGTGTCGACTATAGTGCCGACTATCAGTACCCATCATCAGTGCCAGCTCATCAGTGCTGCCTATTAGTGCCACCTATCAGTGCCGCCTATTTGTGCCACCTCATTAGAAACAAAAAAAAAACTTTTTTTTTTTTTTTTTTTGCTCTTTTTTTTTTGTTTATAGCGCAGAGTAAAACACCCAGCGGCAAGTAAATACCACCAAAAAAAATCTCTGTTTGTGAGAAAATAACAATAAAAATTTCATGTGGGTATAATGTTGCATGACCGCAGAATTGTCATTCAAAGTGCGATAGCGATGAAAGCTGAAAATTGGCCTGGTAAGGAAGGGGGTATAAGTGCCCGGTAAGCAAATGGTTAATGTTGAAAGTATGCTGGCTAGTGTATTTTGTCCAAACAACAAAGTTGTACAGGCGTTAAAAAAATATAGCAACAGGGAAAATCCCAGGTCCGGACTGATATTCTATAACATATTATAAGAAATTTCAGAGAAAATTACTTCCAGTACTGTGTAGATACCTAAATTCTTTAAGTGAGGTTGAATATGCGTATAGAATCCCTATTAGCACATATCTCCATCATATTAAAAGAAGTCAAAGAGCCCACATCTCGTGGGAGTTATAGACCTCATTATTCAAACACTGATATTAACGCAAAACTGTTAGCAGAGAGGTTAAACATACATAAGTGTGCATCCATACAATAAATGTCCTTAAAAAAAGCAAAATGCAATCATTATCCAGTCGATCGCCATTGAACTGGATTGATGAACACCTCGTGCTCTCCATCAAAAACTTAAAGCAGAATTTCACTCTCTTAATCAACATTGACTGTTTTTAATCCTTATGCTGCTAGCATTAGTAAATCGATAGCAAAGTACAGTCAGGTCCATAAATATTGGGACATCAACACAATTCTATCATTTTTGGCTGTATACACCACCACAATGGATTTGAAATGAAACAAACAAGATGTGCTTTAACTGCAGACTGTCAGCTTTAATTTGATGGTATTTACATTCAAATCAGGTGAACGGTGTAGGAATTACAACAGTTTGCATATGTGCCTCCCACTTGTTAAGGGACCAAAAGTAATGGGACAGAATAATATTCATAAATCAAACTTTTATTTTTAATACTTGGTTACAAATCCTTTGCAGTCAATTACAGCCTGAAGTCTGGAATGCATAGACATCCCTAAACGCTAAGTTTCATCCCTGGTGATGCTCTTCCAGGCCTCTACTGCAATTGTCTTCAATTCCTGCTTGTTCTTGGGGCATTTTCCCTTCAGTTTTGTCTTCAGTAAGTGAAATGCATGCTCAATCTGATTCACGTCAGGTGATTGACTTGGCCATTGCATAACATTCCACTTCTTTCCCTTAAAAAACTCTTTAGTTGCTTTTGCAGTTTCCTTTGGGTCATTGTCCATCTGCACTGCGAAGCGGCATCCAATGAGTTCTGAAGCATTTGGCTGAATATGAGCAGATAATATTGTCCGAAACACTTCAGAATTCATCCTGCTGCTTTTGTCAGCAGTCACATCATCAATAAATACAAGAGAACCAGTTCCACTGGCAGCCATACATGCCCACGCCATGACACTACCACCACCATGCTTCACTGATGAGGTGGTATGCTTAGGATCATGAGCAGTTCCTTTCCTTCTCCATACTCTTCTCTTCCCATCACTCTGGTACAAGTTGATCATGGTCTCATCTGTCCATAGAATGTTGTTCCAGAACTGTGAAGGCTTTTTTAGATGTTGTTTGGCAAACTCTAATCTGGCCTTCCTGTTTTTGAGGCTCACCAATGGTTTACATCTTGTGGTGAACCCTCTGTATTTACTCTGGTGAAGTCTTCTCTTGATTGTTGACTTTGACACACATACACCCACCTCCTGGAGAGTGTTCTTGATCTGGCC